GGTAAAATGGGTGAGCAGTGAGGTGAGAAAGCTTTATAATGATATTAACTTATGCATAGCAAAAAGGATGATGGCTTGCTGAATGTGAAGAATTAGGAAACGTGCTTATGGAAGAAAGTCCCTAGGCAATAAAATGGCAGATGAAATTCTTTGTCATTGAATGCAAAGTRGTGCACAGAGGGCAAAACAATTCTAGGACCAAGAGTCATTATATACACAAAATTGCACATATTTCAAGTGAGCATTAGAGGACCCTACCATACACCATTGGMTTGTTCTTACTCTCCTGGCTTCTTCTTATAGTTACAGCTGCAGTTTAAGTTAGGATACTAGTTTGGATGGATTTTCGGTCTGACCAGAGGGAGGAACTGTTTTTTTTTCACAGATGTAGCCTGAGTTCTAACATGGTGCACATGACAGAAAACCACCCTGGTTTAGGACCCTACAGATCTACTGTGTGCTTGCATGGCAGTAACCACTAACTTAAAAATGTCAGTTATTGATGTTAATAGCATGAAGAAACCTGTGGAAGGTTTCAGCCCCCTAGAATTTTCTTTCTGAACTAGCCACAGGCCCCTCTACTGGCTATACTGTGACTGCCCAGCTAAGACATGCTAATCAAATAAAATGGGAGAACACAGAAAGTTCTTCACCAGAGGATAAAGATAAAAATGTTTAACAGAGAAATATGAATTTAAAAGATTATGGACAAAATCTATTTCTTTCACAACTAGCAAAGCCAAAATACAAAATTGTGTGAGGTTTTTATCCTGGAATTATAAGACTGAAAACCTAGAGTTTTTACAGCAAATGCTGAAAATCTCAGACAACAGAAAATGCTTCTTGCATAAGATCAGATAAGCTTTATCCATGTGAGAAGAATACCCCCAAAAGTGATATTTTAAGACGTCACCTRATGAAGTGACTCTTTTCCCTAAAAGAATTTACAGAGGCCCAGGCAACTTGTGCGTATGGGAGTTATTACTCAGTTCCCCTAATGAGGGAGGGGAGGTGTATTCACTGCCCAGTACCAACCTTTTGAAAACCCAATACTATGTCCTGACAAGAAGCCTTAGTTTGAAGGCTACCTACCTCTACCTCTGTATGCATCCATCCAAGGGGATATGATGTGTCTACATCAGTACTGGATCAGTGGAACGAAGGGTGATCTATCACCCTGCCACCCAGACTGTGCTGGAAGTATTRCTTCCCAAATTCCTACTAATTCATCTGCTAAAATGATGAAGGAGAAATAGTCCTGGAAGTCTTCATGATCCTGCACAAGGGAGAAGTCAAACTGAAGTGAAGCGAATGTGTCAAAAAGAACAGTCAGGAACTGCTACAATGATTCAGTTCACACTCATTGTGTCAAGTACTCTGCTAAAGCACAGCGATGAAGAATTCCTGGCTTCTCTTGTTAAAAAGAATATGCTGGTAGATATGTGGCAAATACTAGTTTGATGGATAATATATTAAACCATCCCTTGAGTTTATCATTGTTTCTGATAACAGGAGCAGGCAGAGTCTCTGCTGCTCAGTGATCTCTCAAATGTTCTCAGTTCTCTCTCGCAACTAATATGTGAAAAGAGAATCTCAACTAAATTACTATTCAGAAAGAAGCTCAATGGRAATAGGATCTCCTGTCAGGAGGATCAGCCTGATATATTCACAGAGATCAGTACYAGTGGTTGAAGATGACTCTCATTTTCTGATAATCCTAGCAAGCAAAGTCTAAGAAAGATCCAACAAACTTCTAAACTTCTACTGTTTAGACTCTTACATATGGAGGGTTTGTAGGGGGCAATATGTATTTAATGCAAATGGCAATRGCAGTGGGTAAGCAATGCTCTCCATGTGGTATGAGTATAGTTCACTCAGGTCAAATCTTTGTAGAGTTCAAAAAGCCATCACCAAAAGTGAACAGTTTTGACAGTCTAAAAGCCAACAGTGACTGGAGAGACAAGGACAGCAGGCTGCTCCACYTCACCAGGAGGCTGTAAAGAATGGATAAGGCTCTGGTTGTGCTTTACTCTCTGAATCACTCTTCAGTGCCACCCACTCCTGCAGGTATCCTGAGCATGTCTTATCACACATGCTCAGGACTGTGTCCCTCATAGAAACACAGCTGCTGGAGGTTGCTCATCTTTACAGAAAGGCCCCTCATATCTAATCATCACAGATTCTGCCCTGGAATCAGCTCTTTCCTCAGCCTGCCTGCACTCTCCCAGAAGGCAGCCATAATTGCCAGTTTACAGGTTTGTCAGGGTGGAATCCAGCTTTTTTTCCCTACCGTGCAAAACTCTATGGTGTCTGCCTCAAGAGCATGCTCCGTAAGGACAATAAACTTTTTATGGATGCAGGAGGGCAGGTCAAAGCAGGATATACTTCCATGGCTTCAAAGAGGCAAAAATGCAGAAAGAGTCACTGTACCAAACCCCYCTCCCTTCTTCACAGACTTCAGAACATCTAAGACTTACTACAGATTTCAGCAAAGATGTTTATTAGTAGCAGACACTCCTGGCCAGAGGTACAAAGGAGAAGCTTCTGTGCACCCATAGCATGGCTCCATTCTCATTACACACCATGGAAAGAGTACTGCTGATTTTATTAGAAACAGGGTCAGATCCTATCACCAATCTAATCAGTTATCTAGGAAACGTTGAGGAGAAAGTYTTGTGCCATTTCAATCCAAAACAAACAGCAATCCAAAATATATTTTCCCATTTCAATCACTTGCCTGATTTAATAAGCCACTCCTCACTGTCCTAGGGTAATAGAACTACTTATTGATTACTCATTTTTAAAATGGAATCCCATCTGTTCTGTTTTATTTTTGCTTATTTCCGAAGTTTCTATTTAAATAGGGAATAAGATCCTAATTCTGTTATGGTTCAAACACAGTGAAGTGAAGGCTACATCGTTGTCTTTATCTTCTGCTTTGGAGTCTATGGATGGATGGTTTCTTTTGAAAAACTTCTTAAACATCAGAAAATAAAAGCACTGCTGGGAATGGGAGGATGTGCAAAGGTTCCTTTACAAGTTTGTTTTTTCTTTCCTGGTGGGGAAACTTCACAAAATATAATAATACCACTGAAGACTCATATCACTTTGACATCAATTCCATGCTGGGCTTTACRTACAGAAAATCAAGCAAATTGAAATAGAAATAATACAACAATTTCTGTTCATATAGCATAAGATAGACTGCTTAAATTACACAGTGGGAAATTATTTGCACCACTGTACATACCCATGCACCACCATACATGTCTGAGCTCCTCTCCTACTAAAACCTCTCTACCTGACTGCAGTTTTGCTCGCTGTTCCTAGGCTTAGCTGCCCTTGAACGTTGTCATTTCCAATGCCCAGTTCATATACTTTGCCTAGAGATTTGCATTGCACAAGCAATATCACTGTTCTTTTTTGCTTTGAAGACCTAAATGTCAATCAYTATACCTCTTAATTCTCCTCATGAAATCAAACCATGTCCTAAACCACACTGATTCTCCAATCCTGTGTTGTCTGCTCTTCTGAAAAACTAACAGAACCAGACTACTTTAAACAGTTTCCTCTAAGCAAACTGCATTTGTAGTTTTTCCCAGTTTCTCTCCCATTCTTCAGTGGTAACTCCATCTGCCACTGGAATCTCCTGTGGCACAATCCAACTGTGCCTCCACTGCTGAAGGGACCTGAGAGGGCTTTGAGTGCACAGAAAATGGTCAGGATTCTGATGTCTCTTGTAYCAACAATGTCCATGCTTTATACAGTGTTGGGCTTAACAGGTTTTTTTTATGGAAATGAGAAAAGAGGGACTGAAAAAAMCCCACATTATTTAATGTAATACAATTTGTACATAATCTGTCACTGGATCTCTAAGTCACATACGTATGATACACGTGACCTCTCTCAATTCATCTTAGCTTATGCATCATCTCTTCTTCCACAGTGGAATAAAAATGTGGAAGCCCTTGAAAAAAGGTAAGCTGAAGGTATTCAGAAGTGCCCATGAATTTTATTACCAGTTCAGAGGAAGTCCACATTAATTGTCAACATTGGTCAAGGCACCAATTCTGCAATGTCCTTATTGTAAAGCATACACAAATTATTTTCTCTGTACTTGCTCTTCATGGACACCATTTCACAGAGCACAGTTTTTCTTGGACAAACCACTGACACATACTGAACAACATGCTGAAAAAAGATCATTGATCCTTTTTTCTGCCTTCTGTCTGTTGCACAGTATGTCCCAAATATGAAGGGTAGAAGATACTGTTAAAATGCAATTGCTAAAAATCTGACCTACACTAATCGTAAAATATAATCTTAAAAAAAKAAATAAATTCACTTTTTATCACATTGTGTTTAAGAAATGCTTTCTCTGAACAACTAAAATGAGCACATGCTTTATTTTGCCCCCTAAAATTAGCTGTCATTTTCTGGTTCTCTTTCACTAAGCTGATCCTTGGCTTCCACACATTTCAGAATAAAGCCTTTGCAACAAGTATTATCCTAGGGAAATTTTTATTTTTCTGTGTCCTAAATTAGATACAAACTGAATCAGATAGTTTCACGTCAGACTATCTTCAAATGCTGGCATGTAACTGCATTCTTTCTTTCATGTTCATTGCTCTTTATCACACCTTTCAGTTTAATTTTTCTTCCCTTTTTAATTCTTTTCATCAKACTTATTTATCTTTAGATGTTACTCACTATTTCACAAGATAACAAGTTGTGATGCTACTTCATAGCAAAGAAGAGCCAATGTGCAGAAGTCAGTGACAAAATTCCCACTCTCAGAAAAAAAAAAATCCCTCTGATAGTTTAACCGAAACTCCTCTGGACTGGAGGCTAATTAAATACCTGCCATTATGCATTCCTTAACTTTTTACTTTTCTGGGTGAAAACACTTGACTTAGAGTAATTGAGTTTTCTCCTCTCCTCTTTCCCTTGAAAGCAACAATCATATTCCTTTCTTTTTAAAATGTAATTATGTTTCTTACCATCCACGCTGTGACAAAATCTCCCATCCAAGTCCCAACTGCAGCTACCTTCATAAAATTTTCATTCCTGATGCCCATGAAGTCTGTTATAATGTATGCACTGTAGAGACAAGAACACAAATGTAAGATACACACATTTGCTGAATGTCATTACAAAGAACTTGCATTAGTGACAAAAATTATGATTAGCTGTGAAAGGTTTCCCATTGCTTTCATAATAATGTTTTCTGCTAGATCTGAGACTTGACATAGAACTGAACCCATATGGGTCAATTCCAATTAGAAATGCAATGTGAATTTGATTTTGAAGCCCATGTCTCTTTTGAAGGTGCTAAAATAACAGTTGGCAAAGACTTTAGGATTATATAAAGCTTCTGGAAGCAGAAAATGTTTTACACTCTTTACCTTATTCCTTTATACAAATAGAATTGCAGCATTATTGGAATTGGTGACTTTGCAAAACTTCACAAAGAAAAATGGAAATCTTTAAGGTGTCTTTAAAAAGATAATTGACTTGTCACTCTCTCAGTTATAAAACCAYATTTTTTTACCACGTCGGTGCAACCATGTTTTGCAAAATTTCAGTGAGATGTCACTGTTTCTAGATTTATACATTTTATTTTCACAGATATATTTTACTTAAATCGAAAAGAAGATTTACATTCTGCTTGAATAATGCAACAGAGAGGATTTAAAACCTCACATGTCAGTTTGACTAGTAACTTCAACTTCACCAGGATGCTATAAGGACAATTAAGAAGGTAAAGTTACTTGTTCCAGATTAAAAGCTTTCTGAATAAAACATACCTTTTAATATACTCATATCCTTTCCTAAAAGACTTTTATAGTGGTCAACAAGAGGCGACTCACCTCAGGAGCTAATAATGATGATGATAAATATGAATGGCAATTGCATTTTAACCTTTACAAGTTAAATAGTTACATGCAAAAATGTCCTTGAACATTGTGCTATCCATTATTCAAATCTTACAATTATTACATAACAAATATTGCAGCGTCTAGGACCTAACAGACCACATCTCTGCAATTGGATCAGTGTAAACTGATCCCACTTTCTGGGCCAGTTCTGTTAAAATCTAAATATCTGGTCAGGATAGAAGGTCTTRTTAGCACAAATCCATGCATGGTATAATTTCTTAGGCACAATTTTATAYGCTGTAGAGTAGAAATATTATTGCCACTGAATAGTTTCATGACACATGGAAAATGTCCTATCGTAACAGCCCTCTTCATTATACACATTATGACCTTTCAGCTGGTATGTCACTAACAAAAGTGCCACCTGTTTATTTTTTCTGTTGAACAGTACATAAGTGTTGGCTCTGATTTTCTGTTGYAAATAAAATAAAAGAAGAAAAGAACAATTTCCAAAGTGTTTTTAATAACATTCCATGTAGTTAATAAGATCATCAATATCCTCATTCACCATGTTATAAATTATGGTGTAAGAAGCCAAGAATTGTTGCAGCGATCAGCTTAAAATCTCCCTGCTCCAGTGGTCTGTCTGCAAGACAGGGCAAAAGAAACTAAGGAAGACTGAGAACAGGCAAGCACAGCCCTCCCAAATATATTCTCCCAGATACTTCATAATTGGACAATATTTGGAATTCCTTTTTTCCTCCACTTTGGGCATGCCATTCTTGTAGCATCTGTGAAGCCACAAAATCACCCAGTCTGTGTTCCTTAAGAAGGTGTCTCATTCACAAAGCAGGCACGGAAATAAATGTCATTTGTAAGGAGTGGCCCTCAAAGGCAAAGCATATCTTAGTCTTTTCCATCAGTGGGAGACACATAAAATCCCAGGGTTGTCACCTTTTGTTACATGTACATACACATTCCCACAATCATTATACMTGATTACAGGTGTGCAATACGCAGACATGAACAACACCCCCTGAAAAAGGGGCCACTTGGATGATTCCTGTAGCCCTGTCAGATAAAGCTGGACACAAGGAAGGATAACCAAAAAAATTCAGAGGTTGTAGACCTCTGAATACAGTTATTACCTAGTGGAGGAGATTTCAAACCACACGTTAGCCATTCTTTTAAATACAAATTGAAATTCTCAGTGTTATCACTTGTTTTTGTGAATCCTAAAAGTATCAGAAGGCTTATGATAAGGTTGAATGAGCTGGATACAATATTTAAATACACAGTAAGGCCTTGAAAACATCACATCATCCCAACAGTTATTTTTGCCATTTCAAACATGAAAGCACCCAAGAAGCCTAGTATAAATTGTGCATTCTAGTCTACAAGTAATTAAAGCCTGAATTAAAAATGCAAATTGACAGGCCTYCAGTTAGTGTCAAAATAGCATATTATTATAAAGAAACTGTTAGGAACATAATCTGTGCATGTTTTAAGTGCTTTTACTAATTAAAATTCAGCTACACTTTTTTTTTATGAACAGGAAGAATATTTTTAGCATTGCCATTTTATTAGAAATAGCAATGAAATACATTACATTTACAATTTCATTAACTGTTAGCATTACACCCTGTGTCTGTTATGCCCTCTGCAGTACTATTTTTATTTCAAAATGCAAAGAGAAATTGACTCCCTATTTTAAAATAGGGATTTGAGACTGCTAAAAAAGAATTTTAAAAAAGAAACATAACCCTCCAGWTTTCATTTCCAGGTTTTATTTTATATAGAAATGAGAACACTTGACATTTTCAAAAGTGCCACGCTTTCCTGATGATGTTATCAGGATATATGTTATAACAGTACCATAAGGAAAATTAATTGTTTTGTGAGAAATCCACACATTTTTCTAGATTTAGCTAGTGATTAGAGTAGTTTTCTTCAATTGTTCAGTCTGCTTCCTGGCTAGGAGTGCACCTAGCAGGAGGATTAAGATCTGCTGGGTTTCAGTTAACTGTCTGGGTCAGCCCAGATTATCTGTAGCTTGTCAAAAGGCTTCTCTTTGCTTTGCCATGTTTGTATTCTGCAGCAAGGCACAAGCATATTGCAGAAACAACACAACCTAAGGAAACACCGAGTGAAAAAACACAGCAGTTAAAGCTCAGAGTAAAAAAGCTCTTATGAAACAGGAGGAGAAGTGTAAATAATTAAAGGCTGAGGAGCCAATAGTTGTGAATATTATAGATAAAGTTAAAATTTGTGATTGGGATTTGGGAGCCTTCACAGTAAGACTGGAAGCTGCAGCTCTGGGAAATTGCCCTTAGCAGGCCAAAGGCTAAGGAAGGTAGACCAACATTTTAACAAAACAGGACAAAACAGAGGAACCAAAAAACAAAGGACGCTTGACAAACACAATTCTAAAACAGATTTAAAAAAAMCATAAAAATCATAAGTAACTGTCTACGTCCATGTTGACGCAAAAGGTACGTTAATAAACATGAGTCAGTAAAAAGACATATGAGCCCAATGTATCTGAACAGTTTCTGGAGTTAGCAGCGGTGTGCACTGAATGGATAACAAGGGAGACAACAACACTAGCCGGGAGATTTTGTTCAAAGGAAGACATCAGAGCATTTTTTCAAAGAAGGATGACACTTTACCAGCTGCTAAAATGACAAACAGTCTGAAAGCAAATGTAAGGTTTTAAATTCTACGTTGGATAAAGATGCACAAGTCACRTAGTGCTACAGACACTGTTCCAAGCACTGGGAAAAAAAGTCATGACTGAGACTCAGTCCTAAAACAGTGTTTTCTTGACCATCACAGAATCTAAGAATGGGTTGTAGCTTGAATAGAGACACTTATATTTAAGTGTAAACCAGGAAGTTGGACTCTCAGTGGAGTTTAGTCAGATTGGATCAAGGATATACTTGCCTTACATTACTGCTTAATGGCTAGCACTTAAAAWAATGTTCACATATCAAAATGCATTTTTAAACCTATGTGACTAAGTACTTCCAGTGATGTGACATAACTTGGCTTCCAGATGACAATCCAAAGAGAACTGGATCTCTTGTGAGGCCTATGACACAACTGACAATCCAGACACATCTGAACTGAACCTCAGTGTCCAGGGACAGCAACCAGAGCATYGACACCTTGGGGAGGTTTTAGTTGCTTTTTAAAGCATTTTTAGCAACTCTGATGARTCTTAACCAACCTTCAGCTGGTTGACTATTGAAGGCACTAGGCTGGTACCCAGCACACAGTGCCAACAAGAACTACACCCACAGAGAGTGGGAACTTAATACTCTTCAAAAAGGAGAGGAGGCCTAGATGTCTTTTATGTTGAGTAATAAAAAGTCTGTACATGTTCTGCAGTTTGATACGCACTTTCTTGAGGAGGTTTTATTACCTGGCATTCCCCCTAAATAGCTGATTACCTATATGGAACTCATTTTCCTTGGTGCATCTGACAAAGTGAAATGCTTTGACATTGGCAAACAAGTGACAGCACGGGAGTCCACACAGGCTGCAGAGAAGTATGTGTTTAGATGTGGCACCACAAGCTTYCATTACTCTTAATTTAGAAGAGGCAGAAACTGTCAGAATAACTGAAAACATACATAAAAGACTGCAGTACAGTTCCTGATCTATATTTGTCACTCTAAAATGACAGAWTGGCAAATTAGACACTTGGTAGCACTTCACTCAGCTGAAAAGCTATTCTTTTAATGTTAGGAATTGAAGTCAGAGCCACGGGGAACTGGAAGGTGCTTAGAGACAGCAAGACCTGCTGTCTTATAAACTGGCACATCATAATGAGGATGGCATAATGCATGGCTACCAGCAAACAGCATGGAGAGCACAACAGCTATTCATCCAGTCCCTATTCATCCAGTCCCTACCATCCCCAGTGAATGCTTTAGAGATACAGATGAAACTTCTCTGACACCAGAACAGAGAGAATTAAGAGGCACTGAAGCACGGATTTTGCTTGACAAGACATCAAAGAGGTACTAGCCACAAGAGGCTCTGCAGGCTAATCTCCAAGACACAAAAACCTGGGATGCAAAAACAGCTTGGCTACTGCGAAGCAGATCCATGACATGGTGCAGAGCACCTGAGACTGACGGATTGATGCTGTAACAGAGCATCACTGCTTGGTAACTTATTTATACATGCTTTTTTGAATCAGGCAGCACAACTGTA